CTTTTTTTTTTTTTTTTTTTTTTTTTTTTTTTTTTTCCGGTTCCTTACACCCTTGTCATGAGTGCTGCAGGTTGAGTGGGCGAAAAAAAAGCATTTAAAACCGCCGTCTGCACACCACGGCCGCCGGCTTGCAAAAAATCTGATCCAGTAGTTTTTAAACCGGCGCCTTGTTTTTATCGCCTTTTTGAACTTGGGCGCGTTTTTCTGTGCCCATCCAAACATCGATTGTGACTGAGACGTAGTCGTCATCTTTTTTTTTTTTTTTTTTTTTTTTTTTTTTGACTGATTGACAGTGATTGTAGCAATTGTCTAGTCAACAGGATATGCGAAGCTCGTGCAACTAAAAAGACAACACAGAACAAACGAGTACGACAGTAGTCCATTTTCGCCCCTTAACCATCATCTTCACGCTCACCATGCCCCCTGCCCTCGCAGCACCTGTGAATCTTATCCCTGCCCCACTGACATAGTGGCTGGCCAGGCTCTTGAGCATCTTCTTCTTAAAATAAAAAAAAAAGGTTTTTCGGACTTCCTTAACATTCCTATTAAAAATAGCGGGCCTCGTGTAACGCTACCGTGTGGGCCCCGGGCCCAACAAAAAAACGGTCGGGAGGTGGTACCTCTGGGGCGCCGCTGTCGGGAAGTGCCGGATCATTTTATTTTTTTTGTGCGCGGTGTGCTTGCGTGGGTAATTTTTGGCGCTTGTGGCGCCGTTTCACGTTTTTGTTGGGTCAGGGCAGTTGGGCGGGCAGGTAGGGGTGGTGGCACCAGGGCAAGGCGGGGCTGCGGAGTCGAAAGGCCCGTTTTCTTTTGGCGCTGCAGCAGTGGACTGAAAGGAACTTGGGTGGGAAGTGAATGCTCCACTAGAACATGGAAAGATACACTGGCCTGGACACTTTTTATTCGGCGAGGGTTCAGTCCGCACGGGAATGTTCAAGTGGGGAGTGGATCCAATGGGGGTTCGGCGACTTTCTGCAGTTGTGTAGGTGGTCTGGAATTGGATGTTCTAGAGGGTTCGGGGTGAATCCTCTGCGCTCGAACATGGAAAGATGGGAGTGGAATAGGGCGGGGGGGAGGGGGGGACAACGAGCGGGAGGAGGAGAACAGCGAACTGGAGGAGCTGGAGGAGCTGGAGGAGGTGGAGTGTGACGAAGACAGGAGGAGAACAGCGAACTGGAGGAGCTGGAGGAGCTGGAGGAGGTGGAGCGTGACGAAGACGGGTAGGATGACGAGGCTGGAGGAGGACTGGGAGCACCGGAGCAGGAGGAGGGGGTCGGTGATGATGATGATGAGGATGATGAGGCAAGGAAGCCAAGGAAGCAGAGGAGGAGGAGGAGGAGGAGGAGGAGGAAGAATTGAGGAAGAGGAGAACGAGAAGGAGGATGGAGGGAAGAGGAGACGGGAGCAACGAGAGAGGGCGAGGAGGAGGAGTTAGGTGCAGGAGGGGGCAGGAGCAGGAGGACTTGCGGGAGCGGGAGGAGCGGGAGAACAGGATGAGGGCCGGGAAGAGGAACGGAAGGAGGAGGGGGACGATGAGGAGGAGCACGACACTGATGATGGTGAGGAGGTAGCGGAGGAGGTGGAGGAGGAGGAGGAGGAGGTGCAGGGGATGGGGTGAATACGGGGGGTCATCATCTTTGCACAGAGGACATGCTTATAAAGTGGGTGAGTTCGTCTGTCATGACATCCGTTAAATTTGGAATGGTAGAGAGAAGCTTAGTGTTGCCCTTGCAGAAGGATGACATGCATAAATAGAGAAATGGTTCAAATAAAACGAAGGGATTGCACCCCTGACTCGGAGTCCCTGACTTCTACGATTTCCCATTTTCGGACTCAACAAATACCATAAGGAGTTTATAAATGTGGGAGAGGGAGG